TGAAAGAGTCCTCAAATGTTGGTATCTGTAGGATCTGATTTCTGGATCAGACATCGGGCAATGACTGGCCAAGAGAAGAGCAGTTGTGAAATACTGTGACTCTGGGTAGGAAACACTGCATCATGCTTTGTCCTGCTGTCTCAGCAGGGCCTATCGTTCAGTCCTGGTTTTCTCAAGAGGTTTTCCTCAGTTGACTCTATAGAAAGAAAGCTTTTGGAAGGGGTGGGTATTTGTCAGGGTCAGGCAATTAAATAGATTTCCTAGGCTCGGGGGAGCCTGGTTAATACAGCATGTTGTGGAAATCACAGCGTTTGGGTCTTGAAAGCTGGTCATCACCCTGGCCAGCATCCATCCTGAAAATTCTTCCAAGTTTCCCTTCTGCCCTTGCTTTTCCAACCAGTTCTTGGTCAGGATTAGGTTCCATGTAGCAGATTTCTTTTTAAAAAAATATATTTTATTGATTTTTTTTACAGAGAGGAAGGGAGAAGGATAGAGAGTTAGAAACATCGATGAGAGCAAAACATCGATCAGCTGCCTCCTGCACACCCCCTACTGGGGATGTGCCCGCAACCAAGGTACATGCCCTTGACCGGAATCCAACCTAGGACCCTTGAGTCTGCAAGCTGATTCTCTATCCACTGAGCCAAACCGGTTAGGGCAGGTTTCTTTCTGAGAGATGCGATTGTTCCTTAGGTAAGTCAAAACATTACCAGATGCTTGTCTTTGAGCTAGTGTAACTTCCCTTAATGTCCAGAGAATGCAAGTCTGTCTTCATCCTCTCAGCTAGCCCTTGCACTAGAATCATCATTCTCACCTTTCCTTCCCCTGTAATACGCACATAGAGCCTTTCTTGCATTAGTCTTGATGAGGATTTCTATGCAGAGGTGTATTTTCTTAATCTGCAGTCTCCTGCCTTTTCGTTGTTAAGCTTCCTTGAACAAGGAATATCTTTCATCACTTTGTTGCATTGTTATAAATACCCCTTCTGTTAAAACCTCAAATGCTTTTATTGCAGTCTGAATGTTTGTGGCCCCTCAAATTCATATGTTGAAATCCTAACCCCTAAAGGTGATAGTATTAGTAGGTAGGACCTTTGATAGGTGCTTAGATCATGAGGGTGAAAGCCTCATGAATGGGATGAGTGCCTTATAAAAGAGACTCCAGAGAGATTCCTAGCCCCTTTCCACTGCATGAGGATGTAGTGAGAGGTCTATGTTATTTTGTTATAGCAGCCTGAGTGTTCTAAGCTTACAACATTTTTACAGATGTCAGAGACCATAAATATCTATGGCTTCATTTTGAAAGTTTTAATTCTATGAAATACTAGTTACACATTCCAGTGATAATAATACTAATAATAATACCTAATATTTATTGAATGTTCACCAGGCACATATAATGTATGTCAAGCACTATTAAAATTTCCTCAGCCCTAACCGGTTTGGCTCAGTGGCTAGAGCATCGGCCTGCAGACTCAAGGGTCCCAGGTTCGATTCCAGTCAAGGGCATGTACCTGGGTTGCGGGCACATACCCAGTGGGGAGTGTGCAGGAGGCAGCTGATCAATGTTTGTTTCTCTCCCATTGATGTTTCTAACTCTCTTTCCCATCCCTTCCTCTCTGTAAAAAAAAATCAATAAAATATATTTTTAAAAAAATGTCCTCAGAGAAACGGAACCAGTAGGATATATATAAATGCAGAGGTTTATTATGAGGGATTGCTCTTGGATTATGGAGGCTGAGAAATCCCATGATCTGCCTTCTGCAAGCTGGAGGCCCAGAAAGCTGGTGGTGTAGTTCTAGTCCCAACCCAAGATAATTAGGGTGTAATGGGTGGAGTGGGAGAGTAGGTTGCTGATGGTGTAAGTCCTGGTCCGAGTTTGAAGGCCCAAGAACCAGGAACACCAGTAGTGTCTGAGGGCAGGAGAAGATGGATGTCCCAGCTCAAGCAGAGAGCAAATCCATCCTTCCTCTGCTGTGTTTACTCAGTCTGTTCAGGCCCTCAAAAGATTGGAAGATGCCCACCTGCATTGTGAGGGTGATTTTCATTCAACCTACTGATTCCAATGGTTCTCATTCAGAAACACTCTCACAGACACATGCATAAGTAATATTTTACCAGCTATGTGGGCATCTCCTAGATCAGTCAAGTTGTCATAGAGTTAACCAAAGCACTTGTCCTATGAGGCAGATATATTTATAGTCCCCACTTTACAGATAAGAAAACCGAGACTCAGGAAGATAAAGTAACTTGCCCAAGACCATAGAGCTAGTGAAGAGAACTAAGGATTGAAT